TCAGCATAGAAATCAGTTTCCTCTCAAAATTAGAAGTCAGAAGAAAACGAAAAAGCAACTTCTAAGGGCCATTATTGATTAATGGGATTAACAAACATGATAAGTAAATAAACAAATAAGAAAGTAACCCAAAAAACAAAAACCTAGACAAGAATATAATTCTCAAACATCTTTTTAAATACACAGAGACACAAACACTCTCAAATAATACACAACTCACAGAGTGAAATGAAGAATCCTGTAGAGTCGGTTGCATAAAACTACAAGCTAGGCACAAAATGGCATAAAGATAACTAAAAACATGGCTTCTCAAAATAAATTTTCTGAAATACTGACTCCTACAGAGTTAGTCACAGAAAACTATGAGCTGATTGTTAATTTGTTATAAAGATAAAGAAACACATTGCCCCGTTTAAATTTATTCTTTGCTTCTATCTCAAAATAAAGTTCATAAAATAAAAAAAAGGAAGACATTGCCTTGTTTACAACTAAAAATATGTTTGGGTATCTATTGGACTCAAGTTCTCGTAACTGTCACCATTAAAGGTTATATGTATTAATAAAAAGGGAAAAGTGATAATGCAGTGAGAGGATGATGGCTATTGGCCCCTGTATGGAGAAAATCTGTACGGACGTGCCTATTAACCCTTGTACAAACAACGGCTTTTTTCTCCTCTCTGCTCGTGGCATCAACGAGCCGTTTGGAGGCATCGTGCTTCTGGCAACCAGAAAGCTCGTAGTCATTGAACGTAAGACATTTATCGTTGGAATTGCGAGGAAGAGGGGGGAAGGCATAAGGGTGAGTGAGAATCGTAAATGGTTCAGATAGCCTATCTCCTTTTGGGAGAAGGAAATTGAGTCGCTCCTGGGTGCTTTCCAGGAACTTTAGTGGACAAAAGGGGAGAAATTTTGGGGGCATAATTTTTCCGGCAAAGACCACAAGCTCTAGTTGGTTTTGGGAGGGAACAGAAGAAGAAAATTTTTGGTTATCACGGAGCAGAGGGGGACGCAAATAGACACATTTTTATCCTAGATGGACCACAGACCAGAGAGTGGTGAAGGATGATGGTGACGCAACACTAGATAATGGGGAGGAAGTTTATGGCACCTAAACATAGAGAGACAAACAATCAGAAAAGACAGGGCCAAGCACAGTGAATGAGGGTGAGAAAATTCAGCGGTGATACAAACCATCACCCCATGCACAGTGAAGTACCCAAGTTGCCAGGTGACTAAAGTGACTTTGGAGTTTGATAGTGAGAGATATGTTGAA